ATAAATAGCGTTTACTACGAATGACGTGACCACTCGTAAAGAAACTTTCGTCATGGCTTGCGCGTATCTTTACAGCGGGAGAGGGAAAGCAAAGAGAGAGAGATGCAGTTACGAAAGGAAGTTTGTCGTGTGTTTGAATATTTTTAATACAATCTCCCCCCTCCCCCGACCGTCTACGAGCAGCACCTAAGTACAAACAATGCAGGAGGAGGAGAAACAGAGAGAGGGGAAGAAAGGGAAAGAGATATCGTTTCGGCGATGACATAACTTGGAGGAAAGCCTTAAACTCGCGGCACTGCTTCTCGCTACTCTGTGAAATTCAATTATTCCACGTATTCACCGTTACAATATTTGAACACACCGTTTCTCACAATCTCCCTCTTTCCCGAGTACGTAAATTGGAGCGAGCTGTTTCAGAGAACGGAACCTGTTTCTTCGATTACACTGTTCGACGAAAAAAAATGCGCAAGGACGAGAACAACCATTTTCCATAGACTTTTCGATCGCAAAATGCAATCCCGTTTACTCCATCACGTCACAGTTCTGATAACCTGAGATATCAAACACAAATATCGAAAGTTGAACTGAATATTCGAGACGTCGCGTCCAAGTTAAAATGGGACACCCTGTATATATTTTTAATTTACTTAAACTTAATTTCATTACATGTACATTAAATATCACTTCAATTACGAGTTACAATGAGTACAACGAGTTACAGTGTATTTAAATATCATTTACCATTGTATATTAAAAGTTCATGAAATTTCATGACATTTTTAACAGTGTGAGAAGTTTACAATTCAAATTATAAAAAGAACTACTTTAATGTATTTTAGCATATTACAATATGTGGCAAGGTTGGAGTTTTAATGCAATCAAAATAAAGTATGAGAACTTTAAGTTAGTACTTTCAGCCCTTGAAAAGAATTTGTTATGGGTAAAAAGATATTTATTATCGATAAAGGGTCCATTGCGTCAAAAAGTTGCATCAAAACATATTCCTCTATCAAATATTAATTATATTATTCAAACTTCAAGATTCTTCAGGTCGCTGAATACACTATAGTCAAATGACAAATTAAAAATGGCAAAATAAAAAAATTTTGAAGTTTAATTTTTTAAATAATTTATATAAGAGTTTTCTATAAGAGTGTAGGATGGCAAGGTTAAAGAATGGAATTGAGGATAGAAGAGTCTCGGTAGAGAAAGGCTAGACAGCTGATTTATCGAGAAAGTGGATTTTGAGTGTCGAAAGAACGGTAAGATACAATTTAATGTTATATGTGGGAACCGGTATGATTAGTAATATTGTGGGATTATATAACTGTCAGTGCCATAACTAATTAAATTGTAAGATAAGTTGTAAAATGTAGAAATGTAAAATGAGCAGCGGTTCAAATGTGTAAATTTTGTATTTCTAATTGTATACGGGGTTATCGAAAAGTATCGGACCCCCCTAATATTTTCAGTTAGAATGCATTTAGGAGAAAATGTCTAATAGCAAAGTTGTGTGGTTTCAAGCGGGGAGTAAGATGATGACCTTGACCATGTCTTTCAAGATCATTTCAAGGTCAATCTAAGTTTTTGAAATGAAACTCCCTACTTTTTATTGCATATTCTTATTTTTTAACAATTTTTTGTCACAAAATGTAAAATATTATTTAGTTTTTGCTAATCACATTCCGCGTCTCATTATTCCGCGCACAAAAGTATTAAGGTTATGATTACCGAAATAAATCTTGGCTATGCTAAAGTTCAATAAAATATTGTTACTGTAAGGGTTTTCTATAGAAAGCCCTTTTAATTTAAAAAAATTGTTATAAAATTTAAATTAAATTTATCAACTTTTATATCGAAGTTTAACGATTTGAAAAATCTTCATGCTTGAATATTATTATTAAAAAATATTTGATAGATTCTTATTGACCTACGCAGGGTGAGTCATTTTAATTTATCACCTCTAATAACTTATTTGGTTTTAAATTGAGAACAAAATATTTCTCTAGCGAAAACTTCGACAGGCTTGGCTATCTAAAAATACTATCTTTACTGGACTTGAAAGGTATGTAAGAAAATCAATCGATAAGCGGGAGGTGGAGCGACGCGCGAGATATACCGCGGTGGGAAAAAAACAGTGAACGCGGCGACGAGCGCGAGCTGCAAGCGACCCGAGACATAAGTCCGGCCTACCGTATTCTACGTGCTCATTCGCTCAGACGCGTAACTTAATTACTTGATAACTATTGCGAATTTTGCAACGCGGCACATGACTTTTCTTCTTAGTTTAACCCAATCTATTACTATTTTCAAATTGGCTTTTTTATCAGACACCCTGTATATAGATTATTACAATTAGAAATCGTACATTTATAACAAAGAAGAACGTTTTTAGAATATTCGTCGAGAATGTCTTTGGAATGTTTATCCAGAATAATTTTTAATATTCATCGAGTTTATGTATTGCACGTTGTTTATTGTGTAATACACTTATCTTATGCAAAAGGCAGTGAAACCTGTGATCATACCATATAAAGAGATGCCGGAGCATGACTGACTAAAATATTAGGCAGAGGGTACAATTAAAAATAAGTAAAAGTCGAAAGAAAAAGTCAAAAGAATAAATAAATAGTGTAATCCGAAATTAAATTATGTCAATTATGCGGTCATAAATAGCGTTAAGATTTTCAGTGTCGTTTTGTAAATTGATTGTATCATTAGTCATTTTTATAAAAACTATTTCTGCTATCGCTCTCCTTCTTGTGTTACTCTCACGGTGTAAAACATGCGGAGACAACCAATCAAACGTGATAAGCACAATAAATGGCACAATAATTCAAATGCGCTATTAAAATGTATGAGGTCACCGACTTCTGTAAGCAAATGCGTATTAGTAAAAATGCAAAATTTATCTTTCTTTGCAACTTTAATTGCAAATACGAAGAATTAAAAGATGCCATTATTTAAGGCCAAAGCTCAAGGGTCGATTTTAAATACATATGAAAATGTATTGTTTAATTGACAAACATGGAATGTAATTTTTTTTCATTCTTCCTGATTTTATATCTGTGGCTCTTTCTTTATTAATGCTGCTTTTGCAACCTATTGCACAATAACGCATTGGCATTTTCCACTATTTAATTAATACACAACATACAGCAATCATGGCGAAAAAGGATGCACCTAGTTCAAGATAGTGCAGAGTGCAGAACGATAGAAGTAACCAATCACCACTAGAGATAGGAGTTAGCTACCCCCACTATCTAAAAACGGGTTTATGCTCCCTCCAGTTATTCTCTCCTCCACGTGTCGCAAGAACAGTATAAATGCTGTCTACGCGTACATTTTCGACTTTTGTGAACTGCACACCGATACGTATTGTCGGCTGTATACAGAACTATCGAAACGCAATGTTTTTGGTGGGAGGGGGGGGTGGGAAGGGACCGGACATACAGGTTCAAACCCTGGCTAATATTTTTTGCAATAAATTTTCTGCGTTAAAAACACATTGCCAGTTATGGTCGATTACAAATTACAAACCGCGTTTCGATAGTTCTATGTGCAGCCGACAATCCGTATCGGTGCGCATTTCACAAAAGTCGAAAATATACGCGTAGACAGCATCTGTACTGTTATTGCGACAAAAATTATCACATGCGATGGTTGAATTGGTGAGATGCCCGCCTAGGGTGTGGGGAGGTCCAGGTTCAACCTTGGCTGAGGTAATATTTTTCGCAATAAGTTTTTTGTGTTAAAAAAACACATTGCCAGTTATGGTCGATTAAAAGTAAGATTATATTCATAATTATATTCAGCATTTAAAAAAAGGCCACAGTCGGTTGTGCTCTTGCGAAAGAAAGTAAACTTTTCATCGAACAGAGTTATGAATTTTGTTGCAATATTCAGCAGCAGGTTCTCGAGGAGCGGTAACTTGTTCTTTTTACTCTTCGAGACATGCGTCGCAGTCGAAAATCGCGAAAAGAAGAATGGGTCAAGTGCGTATGCACGAGGATCACCTTGACACAAAGGTGATCCTCGTTTTTGCACGATAACATTTCGCCGTAATGCAGCAGAGAGATTGTGCGTCCTTGGGACCTGTTTTTACTCCGAAGAAATAAAAAAGAAAAGTACGAAAACGCCCGAGATCTCTTTCTTCTTTCTCGGCGCATAAGAGCGGCCGTTGCATAACACATATCTCCCTTGCCTTTCGCGACATCACGTGCTACTGGAGAGACCATGCGCAACGCATAGTCGTATAATGTTGTATATAACAGACTGCGTGTTTGACTGAACAAGTATACAAACTTTAGAAAGAGACAACTTACTTTGAGTAGTCGTCCTCTCTCTGTCGCTCTCTATCATTCCCCTTACTCTTCTATCACCGCCACTATTTATTAGATGAGGCGACTGTCGGCTATCTCGTTCTAAAGTTTCTACATATTCTCAACACGGGAGAGGTAGGGAACGCGTAGTCCATTCTTTACTATTGTCTTTGGCGCAACGTGAAAAAGATCGGAAGGTGCGAGAAGAAAATGGGCGCCGCAAGCTTCGTCCTCCTGTTCTCGATCGGACTCGATCGCGTCGAGGAATCCGTTACGCAGCCGCCTCTCGCCGGGGTGGCGATCTCGACGATCGTGCACTGTGATTAACGAAGTCGGGGAATTACGTGCATTTTATTTCTTCTTTTTTCCCCTTTTTCGAGGACACGCTTGGAAGTAAACGAAATCCGGTTTGTAAAACTGTGTAACCGAGACGCGCGCGCGCGCGCGCGCGATATTCGGTGGCGAGTTGCGTAAGACTATGCATGCAGGTGGGACATACGTGTGCGAATGCGTACGTACGCGCGCGTACATACGCGTGTGTGCGATTTGCTATGAAAATAAATGCGAAAGCATCAGGTCGGGTATCAGCGTGATACTTTCCCGGTCTATGACGACCGGTTCGCACCACCCGACCGGCCATAGCCGCCGCCGAATCCGAGGCCGAGGCACGCTGCTGAAACAGTTCCAGCCGCGGACTCGCGTCGCATTCGTCCACCGACCGTTTCTTCTCGCGGTGCGTGCACGGCGAGCGCGGGTAATCCCGAGGCTTCGATCCGATTTGTAACACGTAATATACCGCCACCCTCGACCACCGCTCTGGTCTCCTCCCTGGTCCACCGATCGCGGGTGAGTGCGTGTCCGGCCGGCGACGTGCGTTGGAGAACACAATTGGAGAACGGTAAGAAGTGCGACGCGGCACGCGTGACACGGTCCACCGAATTCGCGAGCGAAAGCTCATTCGAACTCCTCGAGAACTTCTCCGCCGGATGAGGCTGGTCCTCTCGAGCCATTTCCGGAGGACCAGTAAACGGTTGTTAACGTTCTGTTGTTAATTAACGCTGTAACAAGAGCCGCGATAGCGATCGGCCCAGCCGCTTAATTACAGCCGGGAAATTAATTTTCTCGTACTTTCTAAGTGAGGTCGCGTGCGCTTTCACGTTAAGACGCGATCGCGGCGACTTCTCATGTCGTAACCTCGCTTATTTTTCATATAAAAGTTCTATATAATATAAAAGTTCCGTAGTTTGTGCAAAACGTTTAGCGTTCACCCTCGGGATAGCACGACAGAATATTACTGTACCGTTAGAAATGAGCTTAGAAGCCTGTGTGAAAAGAGACGTCTCATTGAAAATATATGCGTATGCGCGAAACGACGTAAAGTCGACAAAAAATAGTTTTCTATACTTCTAAACTCAGTGGTTTCGGTATGAAAATGTTCTACTGCACAGTCCGCACTCTGTCCTGGCATTAGTTTGTGCATAAAAGTACGCGTTTAGCATCGCTTTAAGACGCAAAGGAATATTAATTGTTTATAATACCTGGGTATTAAAACAATTCTGTGCGATTAAATTTTCATATGAGGCGAATTAATAAAAACTGTAAATCGCCTCTAGGTACACACATCTAGATACACATTCAAGAACAGAACGATATTTCAATGCTACACGTGTAAGATTCGTAGAAAATACCTGCGCATTTGGAAAAATTTGGAAAAATAGATTACATGATTACCGTGTAACAACATCGCTTACGTATACATCACTGCTGAGCGTATACACAAGCTGTAAACGTCAAATAATAACAACTTTTTCTCATATCGCGGCTTATCGATTCGCGCTATGCTATTTCAGTTCTACCATGCTATTTCGGTTCTCTTGAAATACCTTTGAATATGTAATAACACTTGGAGATACCGTAAGTCGATCGAGACAATTGGAGAACGGTGTACTTTCGACGGTAATGTGATTTCAAAACTAATCGACCCAGACAGCACAGAGAATTCAAAAGGACTCCTTTTGGAATTCCCCGAAAATTATGAAATGAATTTCCATTCCATTTCTCCACTAAAGATATTCCCGATAAAAAATTTGTCATACATAAGCATGTATAAATATATACAATTGTATAAAATAATATAAAATATAATTGTATAATTATATAAAATTAGGAAGACTCGTATAGAAATACACAATGTGAAAACATGTGTATGTCTGTATATATATATATATATGTTTATATTTATACATGTTTATGCACGAAGACTTTTTATCGGATTCTTGAAAGTTCAAAAAGAATTTACTTTTATGTCACTAATTTTGAACTCTTTTCCGAGTACAAAAAATTTTTTAACTATACTCTAGAAGAATTCACATCGGAAAGGGTCTCTTTCGGGGTTTATTTTCAACAGATTACGCCAATTCATAAAGAATTTTAAAAAAGTGAAACCTTTTTAGATTCATTACAATCGCCTGTGCTACTTGGGGAGTTATCGTTTTCGTTTTGTTCACCCCAATATCATTACTGCCGATATTTTTGACGATTTACACGAGTTATAAAAATATTCTGACAGCTTTAAAATAATAATTTTTAATTAAAAAAATACGTGCTCTTTAATTAATAAAACTAATGACTTTTAATTAAAAAACACGTGATATCCCGAATAATTATTTCTTTAATTAAAGATTTCACATCTTTATGTAATAAAGCTCTCATTTCTCTAATTAGTAAAATTAACTTCCGGACGCTATATATCTTTTTGATCAAATTTCGATATAGTGTGCGCATTTGAGCAGTAATTTTTAATATGTACTTTTCAGTGGACGTAATCCACGCTGACAAAAATATTTCTGTAAAAACAAAAGTATTATATTGTCCACTCGATGGAAATGTTCCTTCAGTATTTGTGCAGCAGATACATCTATTCAGACAAAATGTCTAATTCCCCAGTAGAAGCCTCGCTTTTTGAAAATATCCGAGACGCGAACAAGGAACAAAATAAAATAATTTTAGACTCGTAACTTCTTTTCACTGTTGCAAGAGAAAATCAGATACGTATTTCACTCTTCAAAGTAACATGCGGTACTAAATATTTTCTCATTTTTCTATCAGACTCGTGAGAAATGCTTATCCACCTATCTTATTTCCGCAATTTTCAATCTATTAACAAGTTTTCTAATAACAAGCGCACTTTGACAAATGCAATTCATCGAAGTGCATTACAATACGAATACATTATCATTCGATATCGACTTGTGAAAACAACTCCTTCGAGTCTTTTTGCCGTTTGCTATGGAGGTCACTATTGTTCAATTGTCTGGCCACAACTATTTAATGCATCGCGGGTACCAAGCTGTGAAACCGCATAATACGATACGATTTCGATAACTACGATACCCCCCGCCCCCCCAACTTGATTATGCCCGGTCGCGCAATACTTAATTACCCTGCAAAGCAACACGAGCGCGTCTGTCGTTTATACGGCCGCTATACGCGCTAATTATACATCGCGCAATACGCTCTAGATAGCTTTCCGTTCTGTATAAAAGAGAATACATGTATAATCATGCGGCGCGCGCGGCGGGAAATGGTATTTCGGCCGCGCGGACGATGACGCGCGCTAATTTTAATCATTTACGAATTATTCACGATTCCCGCGTATCTTCAGGGAGACCCGTCGAAGGATCGATCCTCTCGGCCGCGATGGAGCCGAGCAATACGGACGACGTGGCACCGGACAGGGTAGCCGAGACTTTCGCCGGCCAGAAGATACTGGTGACCGGCGGCACGGGTTTCCTCGGAAAAGTGATGATCGAAAAGATGCTGCGGTGCCTGCCCGACGTCGCGCAGATCTACGTACTCATCAGAACGAAGAAGGGCAAGGATCCCAAGCACCGGCTCGACGAAATATTCAATTCCCCGGTAAGCCCTGGCACGGCCCTGCTTGCGAAAAGATACTTGCGAAAAGAACCTTGATACTTTCTAAAAGAGCGCGCGAAATACTGCATCAAATTGCACAAGAAGCGAATTCGAGTATAGTCGACCGATTAATTGTACGGCAAGTACTACACGCGGATGCATGCACAATATCTTTACACCTCGCCTTGTTTAACACCAGGAAGATTCTCTCTCTCTCTCTCTCTCTCTCTCTCTCTCTCTCTCTCTCTCTCTCTCTCTCTCTCTCTCTCTCTCTCTCTCTCTCTCGGGCGCGCGGGAGCGCCAAAAAGAGAAAGTGCGTGACTATGACTTTGCTATTGCGTTGCGGGTTGCATCATTGTTGCCTTACAACGATGGCGCGTGGTGCAGCTAAGAGCCTTGTAAAACGGCGCGTTTCCTCTCTCGCGCGCGCGCGCTTTGGGTATTTCTCGAATAAAGTTCGCCAGTGAAAGTATACTAAACCGGACCATCAACCACCGCAACGTCGCAACCAGCCGAGCCATCTATGTGACGAAAGAAACCGAGTCAAGGCTCCCGTCGAAAATACAAGTCGAGGGAAGTGAGATGGTGATTATTGGTATCGCAGCGGCACCCGCCGCCCGATCTCGGTGAAAGTGCCAGGAGTTGCACGTTTCGCGGCCCACGTTATGTCACGTCATTTCAAATTTTAACGTAATACCGTAAACACACGCCGCCTTATACGCGCGCGATTAAGGTTCCTATAAATTAGACGCCATTAGAATACGATCTTCCCGCGTAGGTGCCCGTTTCGGCTGGGAGAAACGATTATTGCGGGAAAAAAATCGACTGCATTCAACCCGCTCGGTTTGCTTACCATTCGGAGCGAATTGAAGCGAACGCGATTATGTTGAAGCAATGATAAAAGCTGCTTACGACTAAAAAGCAGTGATAAAGAAATTCGACTCTATCTTTCTCTGATGTTCAGTCGTGGTCGGAAAGGTTGCCCGACGTTTTATAATAAATTTCGGAAATACAGTCTGTCGTGCGAGAGATTCTTGCTTTCTGCTCACGGATGTGTGCAGTGACGCATTATTAGAGTAAAGGAATGATATGCGCGTATATACAGGGTGGTCCAGTGATGAGTAG